AACACAGAAAAAAAAAAATTCATATTAATAGAATACATTGGTATCGAAGGAGCTAGATTCTGTTCCGAAATATCACTTACTCGAACCGTCCTGACCGCGTGGCTCAGTTGGAGGAGCATTGGGCTGGTATTCCAAAGGTCGTAGGTTCGAATCCCCCCGTGGCCGGGCATATTTTTCAAGCTCGCCCGGTGTGGATATACACTCAGAGTAACACCACAAATATCATATTCACCTGAGTACACTACACCAACACAGAAAAAAAATTCATATTAATAGAATACATTGGTATCGAAGGAGCTAGATTCTGTTCCGAAATATCACTTACTCGAACCGTCCTGACCGCGTGGCTCAGTTGGAGGAGCATTGGGATGGTATTCCAAAGGTCGTAGGTTCGAATCCCACCGTGGCCGGGCATATTTTTCAAGCTCGCCCGGTGTGGATATACACTCAGAGTAACACCACAAATATCATATTCCCCTGAGTACACTACACCAACACAGAAAAAAAATTCATATTAATAGAATACATTGGTATCGAAGGAGCTAGATTCTGTTCCGAAATATCACTTACTCGAACCGTCCTGACCGCGTGGCTCAGTTGGAGGAGCATTGGGCTGGTATTCAAAAGGTCGTAGGTTCGAATCCCACCGTGGCCGGGCATATTTTTCAAGCTCGCCCGGTGTGGATATACACTCAGAGTAACACCACAAATATCATATTCACCTGAGTACACTACACCAACACAGAAAAAAATTCATATTAATAGAATACATTGGTATCGAAGGAACTAGATCCTGTTCCAAAATATCACTTACTCGAGCCGTCCTGACCGCGTAGCTCAGTTGGAAGAGCATTGGGCTAGTATTCCAAAGGTCGTAGGTTCGAATCCCACCATGGCCGGGCATATTTTTCAAGCTCGCCCAGTGTGGATATACACTCAGAGTAACACCACAAATATCATATTCACCTGAGTACACTACACCAACACAGAAAAAAAAAATTCATATTAATAGAATACATTGGTATCGAAGGAACTAGATCCTGTTCCAAAATATCACTTACTCGAGCCGTCCTGACCGCGTAGCTCAGTTGGAAGAGCATTGGGCTAGTATTCCAAAGGTCGTAGGTTCGAATCCCACCGTGGCCGGGCATATTTTTCAAGCTCGCCCGGTGTGGATATACACTCAGAGTAACACCACAAATATCATATTCACCTAAGTATACTACACCAACACAGAAAAAATTAATAAAAATAATGTATTAAAAGGTAAAATTCTCACAAATCACGATCCACGATCCAAAATTAGCGCACGGGCTATACAAATCACACTTGTCACTGTTGTTACATTCACTCTGTCTTCACACTAACTCTCTGTACCTGTTACGCCTAACTTAAGTGTTTGAAACTCTATCCTTTAATCTATTATAAGGCTACGTCATGCACTAATTATTAAACTATGAAAAATATGTTGTAAAATGGCTTATCTGTTCTGTCAGTCCCGACTAATTAGTTTTCTCCGATACAACTATGACGCAAAGCAAGTGTGCTTTGAATGTTAAGTTAACCTGGAGATATCCCTAGTCGGCTTTTGAGCAACCGGTGCCCCCCCCCCCCTCCCCATACATTAGTAGCATACCAGTACTTCCATCAAATCCCCAAAAGTAGCTAAGACAAGATCAATTTTCTTCAGTGGTTACAGATCAAAGAGCAGTAAGAAAGCTCTAGTTCTAGCCGTCGTCCTTATAATACTTCTCCTCATCGCCGTGGTAGTTCTTGCAGTCCTATATGCAAAAGAAGAATCCGACTCAGATTCGGAGAGCAATACGAGCAAAATCATAGCCACCACAGGTCCTGAGGAATCAACAACCATCTCTCCGAAACCAAATGCTACTGAGAAACCTACCACCTTCCCCACTACACCACCTAATAATTGCCCAAAAGCCACTGATGCCCCACCCCCTGGACCACCACCAAATCAGGTATTTTAGTATATACATGTACGACACTGACTTGAAAACTAGCATTAGATATTTCAAAAAACTGATAAAATTGATAAAAGTGATAATTTGAATTCGTTTCTTTTTCTTAATTATCTATTTGTATGAACACATTTGTATTTTTATTCTGTATGTCCGCACATCCCCCATGGAAATCAACAACTTGTTGTTGGGGCTAACGTGCGTAAACAGGGTTATTATTATTATTATTATTATTATTATTATTATTATTATTATTATTATTATTACAACTAGACGAAAATTTTAACGAAGTAAACTTTATAAATCTTTCTATGAGCTCCCTAGGTATTTTTGCGCAAGAATGCTCTACATTCTTAGAAATGTTAGGAAATGTTGGTCTGGAGAAAAACTACCAAACGTACTGTGTTAGGAAAATGATGACTATTGCCATTCGAAGTACATACTATATTTTTTGCTGCCGAAATAAGGAATGGGAAAGTCCAGACTTGTTAACTATTTGAAATATCTGATTGTCTTGTATATTTATATATTTTCATGTATTCTGTCATTTTTATTATTTCATATAGTTGTGATTCAAATAGCCAATTGTAAGTTACCTTAAATTAGTGAGATTTACAATTGTATATATATAGTATATAACAAAATTATTAAAGTTTCCATTATTATTATTATTATTATTATTATTAAGAAGAAGGAAGGAGGCACAATAAACGTGTGCCTTTACAATTAAGGGTTCGTAGACTCCAAGACTAAAACAATTCAAAGACTTTCAAAGATTTGTTCTGTCTATTTTCAAAGACTTTTCAAAGCCCTTTGAGAGCAATTAGCTGTCGAAAAATTGCGAGTGTAAGCACCATTTTTACACAGTAATTAGTCCAGTCAAATCACATCCTAAAATGCGCCTTTTCGTCGATATTTGCGAAAATCTTGCTTCAATCAATCAATTTTATTAGCTAGGAAATCGTATAATCAATTCCTCACTAAAGAATTTAAAGACTTTTAAAGACTTTCTTCGCTTTTTCACACAATTCAAAGACTTTTCAAAGACCTTAAAATAAAGACCTGCATTCAAATTTAAAGACATTCAAGGATTTCAAAGACCGCTACGAACCCTGGTAAATAAATTTGTATGTATGTATG